TCCATCTGGTGCCTGCGTGTCCCTCTCCCAACCTTCTGTGTGTTCCCCTTGGCCGTGTCCCCCCAGCCCTGCCGGGGTGTCCCCTGAGCTCCTGGTGTTCCCTTCCAGATGGAGTGGTGCTGGTGGACCCCGAGTACCTGAAGGAGAGAAAAGGTAATGGCTTCTGGCAGGGTCCCCTGTGCCTGGGGACATGGAGGTGGCACCACCACGATGACCAGCCGGTGTCCCCGCATGGTCCTGCCCCGACACTGGCACCTCTGGGCTCTTGGGCGGTGTTTTCCAGCCCACTGAGGATAGGGTCCTGTGATGGGCACCCCAGGGTGCATCGGGCTGTCCCCTGGGCTGCATGCCCAGCTCCTCCCCCCCGTGGCACCTCCTGGGAGCCACCACCGCTTCCTGCTGCTGGTGGGACCGGCGTGGGCCATGGTGCCGCCGTACCATGATACCACCCTGCCATAATGTCACCGTGTCATGATCCTGCCTTCATGCTGTGATCCCACCACGCCATGATCGTAGAATTGTAGAATGGTGGGTGGGGTTGGAAGGGTCCTTTGAAGGTCATCTAGTCCAACCCCAGCGATGTCACTATGCCATGATGCCACCATTGCACGATGCCACCACACCATGATGTCACCACACCATGACATCACCAGGATGCCACCACGCCATGATACCACCAAGCCATGGTGTCACCGCACTATGATACCACCATGCCATGGTGTCCCCACGCCGTGCCACACCACGATACCATCCTACCGCCAACCTCCACCCCTTCTCCTCACCCCCAGTCTTCGTGACGTTGACCTGCGCCTTCCGCTACGGCCGCGAGGACCTGGATGTGCTGGGCCTGACCTTCCGGAAGGACCTCTTTGTGGCCAACGCCCAGGCCTTCCCCCCACTCCCCGAGGAGAAGAAGCCCCTGACGCGGCTGCAGGAGCGGCTCATCAAGAAGCTGGGCGAGCACGCCTACCCCTTCACCTTCGAGGTCAGCTGGTGACGCCTGCTCGCCCTCCTGCCCACCCTCCCCTTCCTGCTGGAGGGGACCGTCACCCTCCCGGGGGACATCGAGGTCCCCTCTGGCCGTGTAGTGTCGTGGTTGGGGGTGAGGTGCCACCACCCACGGTGAAGATGCAGCTTTTTTTGGTGGGTCGGGAGCAAAAAGCAGCCACCAGTGGGGAAACTGAGGCATGAGGTCCACGTGCTGGGCGTGACCGGGGCGGTGACACCAAGCTGGGGCGCTCCCCCGAGGAATGGGGAGGGAGCTGAGACCCTGTTCTGTGCTCCTGCACCCCAGATTTTCCTGGTGCAACTTTGGTGATGGCCCCTGCCTCCCCAGTCCTGGAGCTAGGGGAAGCTTGTGGCACTTCCCAGGGTACTGGTGACACTTTCCAGAGGCTCAGCGACAGTGTCCAGGGAGCCGGTGGCATTTTCCTGGGACTCGGTGACATTTTCCAGGGAGCTGGTGACACTTTAGAAGGTCTCAGTGGGATTTTCCAGGGAGCTGGTGCCATTGTCCAGGATCTCAGTGGCATTTTCCAGCATCTCAGTGGCATTTTCCGTGGACTTGGTGACATTCTCCAGGGACTTGGTGACATTTTCCAGGCTGGAGCCCCATGGGCTCACCGATGTCCCTGAGCCCCTGTGAAACAACCTTAATTCCTCCAAATCCTCTGGATTACCAACAAAAAAACCCAGATGGGGGATTTTGGGGGTAATCCTTTGGAGTTTGGATGTGGAGTGGCCGAGCGGCTGCCCGCGTGGGTCCGGAGCAGGACGATGGTCCCAGCACTGCTCCTGAAGCCCCTTTCCACCTCCAGATCCCTCCCAACCTGCCGTGCTCCGTCACACTCCAGCCAGGCCCGGAGGACACGGGGAAGGTAAGGGCCACCCGTCCTTGTGCCACCAGGCAGGTCACCTTGTGGCCAGCCATTGGTTAAGGTCACCTCTTGGGGGGTGCAAAGGGGTTTCCCTGCCTCCTTCTCTGCCCCCTCCTGGTCTCCAGGCCTGCGGTGTGGACTATGAGGTCAAAGCTTTCTGTGCGGAGAACCTGGAGGAGAAAATCCACAAGAGGTGAGCGGAGAGGATCCGTCCAGCCTGGGTGGGAGTGGTATCCTTGGGGTGCTGCAGGGGCTGCGACCTGCTGGTGGGAAAGGAAGGACCCCAGTTTGCTGCCCACAGTGGATGAGATGGGGATGGGATGGAGGTGTCCTTCAGGATGGGGATGGGATAGAGATGAACCCCAGGATGAGGATGGGATAGAGGTGTCCTTCAGGATGGGGATGGGTTGGAGGTGTCCTTCAGATGGGGTTGGGATGAAGGTGTCCTCCAGGATGGAGTTGGGTTAGAGATGAACCCCAGGCTGAGGTTGGGATGGAGATGTCCTCCAGGATAGAGATGGGATGGAGAACTCCAGGATGGAGTTGGGATAGAAATAAACCCCAGGATGAGTTTGGGATGGAGATGTGCTCCAGGATGGGGATTGGATGGATGTATCCTCCAGAATGGGGAGGGGAGGGGATGGGATGGGGGTGTCCTCCAGCATGGGGATGGGACAGAAATGTCAGCTGCACTGGGTCTGGAGTTGGGATGATGATGTTCACCAGGCTGGGCCCGGGATGGAGATGCATGGGTTAGGTCTGAAGTTCGGATGGTGCCCTCTAGGCTGGGGCTGGAATGGAGATGTTCTTCACAACGGGGCTGGGACAGAGATGTTTGCTAGGCTGGGGCTGGAGCTGCACTGGTGATGTCCTCCAGGCTGGGGCTGGGACGGAGATGTCGTCTAGGTTGGGTCTGGGCGGGACAGGGACAGAGATGTCCTCCAGGCTTGGGCTGGGCTGGAGATGCTCTCATGGAGGTGTTCCCCAGGATGGAGCTGGGCTGAAGACACTTTCCAGGGTAGGGATGGGTCAGTGATGTTCTTGAGGCTGGGATGGAGACATCCAGCACTGTGCTGCAAGCAAAGCTCCTTCTCCAGACCCAGCAGACCAGGAGGAAAGGGGGATTTGACCCCGTAACGGGCCGGGGGCAGGGCTGCCTGCGGGCAGCCGGCCACCTGGAGGGTCCTCTCGCCGTCTCCCCCAGGAACTCGGTGCGCCTGGTGATCCGCAAGGTCCAGTACGCACCGGAGCGACCCGGCCCCCAGCCCATGGCAGAGACCACCCGGCAGTTCCTCATGTCGGACAAGCCGCTGCACCTCGAGGCCTCCCTGGACAAGGAGGTGGGCGAGGACCGGGGAGGGGCCACCGGTGGCACCAGCTGAGGATGAGGAGCTCACCGTCCCCCCTCCCCTTCGCTCCCTGCAGATCTACTACCACGGAGAACCCATCAGCGTCAACGTCCACGTCACCAACAACACCAACAAGACCGTGAAGAAGATCAAAATATCAGGTGAGGACCATGGCTTGGTCCCCCGCCGGCCACTGTCCCCATGGGGGCCTCTCCTGACCCCCGTGTCCTCCTCTTACCCCAGTGCGCCAGTACGCCGACATCTGCCTCTTCAACACCGCCCAGTACAAGTGTCCCGTGGCTGTGGAGGACGCCGAGTGAGTAACACGAGCGGCCCCGGGGACCTCGGAGGAGCTTTGGAGGCCTCCAGTCCCGGTGCAGCACCTTGAAAGCAGTGGGATGTTGTGTTGGGCGAGCGGGTCCTGGTGGGAGGAGCGGGGAGGTGTTGATCCTCAGGTTGATGGCACTATGGGGGATGTCACCCTCTGTGTGCCCCCAGCTGGAGATGAACTCCAGGCTGGGGCAGGGACAGAGGTGTCTGCTGTGCGGAGTCTGCTGTTGGGATGGAGATGTTCTCCAGGCTGGGATGAAGGCGTTCACCAAACTGGGATGGAGTTGTCTAGGCTAAGTATGGAGTTGGGATGGAGGTGTTCACCAATCTAAGATGGATTTGTCTGGGTTGAGTTTGGAGTTGGGAGGGAGATGTTCGCCAAGCTGGGATGGAGCTGTCTGGGCTAAGTGCAGATTTGGGATGGAGATATCTAGGCTAGGTCTGGAGTTGGGATGGAATGTTCACCAAGCTGGGATGGAGATGTCCAAGCTGAGAAGGAGTTGTCTAGGCTAAGTCTGGAGATGGGATGGAGAAGTTCACCAGACTGGGATATAGGTGTCCTCCAGGCTGGTCCTGGGAAGGAGATGTTCCCTGGGCTTGGGTGGAGATGTCCTTAGTGGCCTTTGGGGTTGTTGGAGATGGGGTAGAGCTGAGGCTCTGACTGACGGTGACTTGTCATTCCCAGCGACATGGTGGCCCCGAGCTCGACGTTCTGCAAAGTCTACACCCTGACCCCCTTCCTTGCCAACAACCGGGAGAAGCGGGGGCTGGCGTTGGACGGCAAACTCAAGCATGAGGACACCAACCTGGCCTCCAGCACGCTGTGAGCCCCACCCCAAACCACCCCTGGGGCTCCTGCACCCGCTGCCAGTGTGCGGGGAGGGACGTGGGGCAGGACCGAGCCCTGGTGAACACCCAGCTTCTGCTCTTTGGGTGATGCTCAGGGTGGAAGAGACCTGGTGAGGGGACCTTCAGGAGGTCACCATGGACATAAACTCATTGACACCCGCCTGCTTCTTCCTTCAGGTTAAGAGATGGAGCCAACAAGGAGATCCTGGGCATTATCGTCTCCTACAAGGTGAAGGTGAAGCTGGTGGTGTCACGAGGAGGGTAAGTGTTGAGGACCCACCACCCTCGTGCCGTTCCCCCACTCCCTTGCTCCCCTTGGGGCTTGGGACCGTCCTTGGCGCATCTTCCTGGGGATCCTGGGCGGTTCCTGGGGCTGGGATGCTGAAGCTGTGGCAGAACCCACCTCTGGGCAAGGTGGCCCCGGACAAAGACTCCAGTGTGGCCATTACCAGTGGTGGGGTGGGTCATTAATCTTACAACAAGCCCACTCCTTCCTTCTGTAGCCCTCCCATGCTATGGGTGGGGCCTGTGAACCCCCCCAAACCTCCCCTGGGACCCATGGGGGGCACTCGAGGTGTGTGGGGAGGTCACATGTCTCTGGGGACGGTGACTAATGAGTTGTCTCCTTTGACCCACGGCAGCCTACTGGGAGACCTCGCCTCCAGGTAACACCCGCACTGAAACCCCTGAGCCCCCTGGCCCCCTTGCCCACCCTCCGTTCCCTCGACT